TATAAAATTCATAGAGATATTTTCGTTACGTGTTGACTGAACAGTACTTTTAGCCGAATTCGAAAAACGAAGAAGTTCTAATTTTGTAGGATTTTTATATACCTATGGCTACCGGGAGCCATGGTAGCTGAGTGAGGAAACCCGCATGTCTGAGAAATAAGAAAAAATATTTCTATACATGTGAAGTTCGCCTATACGCATTGAGCAGAGAAAATGAGGCCTGTGGCCAGCAGTGGGACGTATATAGGCTGAAACTAAGTATGGTTACCAAATTTAGACAAAGCAAATTTATACTGCCGGAGTAATATTATAATCTCCTCCAAACCGAATTTCGGTCACGGCGGCCAATCTCAACGTAGACTAAGCATCTGCGCAGGGTAGGATTATAACACCCGGGTGAATGCGTAAGCACAGGTGCACTCTCTATTTCCTCACTCTCATAATCGTTTTACGTAGTAGAGCCATGGTGCAGCTATATTAGTAGTATAGTTGTAGCACGAATGGGTCGGCTCGACCGGGGAAGGACCACGCTCTCACAAAATACCAGCGTAAAATACCATCTTAACACTGCTGTGTTTCGTATGGTGAGTGTAGACAACCGAATACCCTTTTTACTGGAAAAGAGGCATTCCATATTAGTCCTCACGAGTGACAACACACCTGCATTATGATTGTTTATTGAGTATAGATGTGGATGTATATGGGTCACAGCAACCACTTACCATCAAATGGACTGTGTGCTCGTTTGTCACCCTATCCTATAAAAATCCGATGGGAGAGCGAACCGACACGACGGGAAATAAATCAGTCACAAGACTTTAGGTGCTCTCCGAGGCACGGGGATGAAATACCGTCAACTTCTGACTCCGGGCTGCTACCGAGAATTTCTTGAAAAAAAAATCCAATAATTGATTTTTGCCCGACTCGTGATTGAAACCCGGGACCCCATGATCGGAAATCGCGGTAGCGTACATGTAGGTATTGAAGATAGACCAAATTAAGAGTATAACCGACGAGTATGTGGGCGTAGATAACATATTGTGGACTAGCTGTGCCCCGCGACATCGCCCGCGTGGAATTTATTACGATTACATTTTATGTATTTTAATTTTTTTGCGCGGAACCCTAATAATTTTTTTTTCGAAATTAAAAGTAGCCTAAGTTACTCCTTACAATATTAGCTATCTGCCAGTGAAAATCCCGTCAGAATCGGTCCAGCCGTTTCGTAGATTAGCCGGAACAAACAGACAGACAGACAAAAATTTTAAAAATCGTGTTTTTGTTATATGTACCGTATATACTCTCATATGCATTTAGTAAAAAGCTGTTATTTTGACATTACAAACAGACAATTCAATTTTATTTATTTGGATATAGATGTGATAGAATCAAGTGAGGTGTGTCACAATAACAATCCTTCCAAATTAAAAGATCTTCATCTCTGCCTACCCCCTGGGTGACAGCCGTAACAATCTATGTATTATTAATAAAAACAGGAGACATAATGGATACACATAAATATTCTTATATTTACGCGAAAACTAAACATGGAATAAAATGAATGAAACAGTTTTTATCGCATTTAATTTTGCCTTTTTTAATTCCCATAGTTTCGGGCACTTTACAGCACCCATGGTCACTCATCGTGACCCTTGAGGTGTTTGACGTCCTAATGTCATACTTAACGACGGCTACCTTCAGCTATTAATAATTAATTTTTGGTCCGATCTACGCAGAACGAGCTTACAGTACCTTGAAGTCTTGTCATAATACTATATGCCTGGTTTTGGATTTCATTTTATAAATTAAACAAAAAAAAAATGGTTGAAATATTTAAAAACCGTAAATACCCCTAATGCATTACAACCGTAAATTGTAAAATTAGTTTTATTACAAAACAGGAGACGTATAAATTAAAACCGTTATCTTACCGTACGCGTAATAGAAAACATGTGGTCGATCGATAACGCCTCAGTGCATAACGGCACAGTCACCGGAAGCGATTATCTTTCGAGCCCTTATCAAAAAATGCTTCTATATCGGAAGCCCGATGTTCTGTTCACTATCTACCTACATTGATTTATATTTAACAAAAATATAAAACAAGTGAAATTTCTAAACGTTATGTTTTTTTTTTAATTACGTTACGTTTTTTTTTTCATATTCTTACACTGTCATTAGATTCTGAGCTATGTTGAAATTTCAAGTCTTTAATTCATCATGAAGTTAGTTTAAAATCAATTACTAAATTCGACCCGAACAAACAAACAAGAAAGCGAGTTTAATAGGCTGGTAACATTTTAATGAACAACATATCGCTAAGTATTAAAAACGGAAGTCGCATATCTTTCTCTCTGTGTATACGCTTAAAACTTTGAAACTACTTGATAGATTTTATACGTGGTATAGCCATGCTGTAGTTATATTATGGTTGTAGTACGAATGGGTCGGCTCGACCGGGGAAGGACCACGCTCTCACAGAATACCAGCGTAAAATGGCTGCTTGACACTGCTGTTTCGTATGGTGAGTGTAGAGAACCGGACACCATGTTTACTGGAAACGAGGCATACTACATTAGTCCTCACGGATGACAATGCATCTTCATTTTGATTCTTATTTGAAGATATTATTAAGAAAGGTCATAGCATTCACTTACCATCAGGCGGACTGTGTGTTCGTTTGCACCCTTATTGTATTAAAAAAAAACTTTATCATCCCCTTAAAATCCACTGCTGTAGTTTAGTTTGTAGTTTGTTTGGGGTATCGTCACGCATGGCAGCCGGATTGACGATCGCAGTACGTCATCAGACTTTTCCCTGGCTAAATATAATTATTTAATTCTTACCCGGATTGGGAATCAAGTGTGAGACAAGTGGTAGAATTAAAAATTGTGTAAAACCCACTTCAATATAAATAAAATGGTAACATCAACAATGTAGTCGAAGTCAATTAAATACGCATTATTAAGGATAACTCAAAAACTACAGGTGAGATCTTAATCAAATTGATATGGGACCACATGAGAAGCGTCAGCTTTAAAATAAAAAAGAATCATCAAGATAGGGTAACCTAGAAAAAAGTTATAGGGTAACACACAAGAAATATACAGTCGAATGGAGAACCTCCTCTTTTTTTTTTTTGAAGACAGTTGAAAACAGAATATTATGTTTTAGTGTTCGGTGGCTGAAGTGTTTTAAGCTCCTACAAAAATTATTATACTACTAAAGATTACGTGATTGATAATAACCTTTGGGAATGAGATGATCGCTACCATATTGTTTCTAAATGTTTTCATATTTAATTGTACATCATATTAATATTGTAAATTAATGTTTATTTTAAAAATTAATTATTTTAGCCATAACGGCTTCGAACACGGTTGCTTGCGTACTAAGGAATTTAAATCGAACACCAATCGCTGGTTACTGCGTCTCTTAAGAATTCGAACTTGATTTTAAACAACATGCAACTAACAAGGCGCTGTTTAAACACCCACATGGAATACCAGTCGGATGTTCACCAAAGGTTCTTAATGATGTCATCTCTGACTGACAACAAAACTTGCACTTTATGTTTCTAATCGTAAAGTATGTTTTACAACGGACGCAACACTTTGGCTATTGATTCTTCGAACATTGTTTGGTTTTTGCGTCCAAACATTTGCTCGGGTCTAAATATCTTAATGAATCACTTTAGAGCGAGTTGTGTATATAACATAACACTATTTTCTGGAGGTCAGAGGGAATTACCACCTAAGTCAAAACGTTTTATTCAATTTAGGCTTGGGTAAAGCTCATGAACGCTAAAACTACACCGATCCGCAAAAACAAGGCCTTCTCTGAAAAGACCTGAAAGGAAACTCATCATGATTTTTAATGCCAAATCATTTACGACTATAAAATCAACAAAATACTTATAGGAGTTACTTTACTGAAAACCATTAGGTATATTAAAAATGTTAAAATTATTTAGCGAAAATTCGCGAAGTATTCGCGAAAAATAACAATAATGTGTCTTAATTTGAAGAGCACCTTTCATCCTTCCTCAATCATCATCCATCGTCACTTTCACAATCACAACACCGCTACCAATCAAGTTGCAACACCAAACTAGGTGATGGCTGAGTCATTGCAGTGTATTCCTCATGACAATGGCCAATTTAGAGGCGAAATAAAAGGAGTGGTTTGCCTTTTTTACTGTAGTGGTGTTGGGATAAGTGGTGACGGGGACGGTGCAGACAATTGAGGGAGGGCGGGAGGTGCTCTTCAAACTAGGTACGACACATAGTTTTTACTTTATACGCGGATCTTTGTTAATTTATTTTAACATAGGTTAATCTACGCAATGTGAAATGTCCGTAATATATAATTAATAGAATCAGGCGTTACTTTACGGAAATCCATTATATAAAAGCTTTTAGAAAAATTTACTTCGCAAATATCCGCGTTATAAAATAAAATGATGTGTCTTACCTAGTATGAAGAGCACCTCCCGCACCTTGAGGGAGGGCGAAAGGTGCTCTTCAAACTAGGTACGACACATAGTTTTTACTTTATACGCGGATCTTTGTTAATTTATTTTAACATAGGTTAATCTACGCAATGTGAAATGTCCGTAATATATAATTAATAGAATCATTATCATTATACTTTGCGGAGATCCATTATATAAAAGCTTTTAGAAAAATTTACTTCGCAAATATCCGCGTTATAAAATAAAATGATGTGTCTTACCTAGTATGAAGAGCACCTCCCGCACCTTGAGGGAGGGCGGGAGGTGCTCTTCATACTAGGTAAGACACATCATTTTATTTTATAACCTTTAGTAAATTTTTCTAAAAGTCCGTAATATAGTCTAATATCAGTTTTAACAATATAATATCAGTAAACAGGGACTTGCCAGTGCAGAATACTATTATATTTCCACACATTGTTGTCGTTAATAGATTGATCTATTTTATTGTATGGGTCTACATATATATTTTTTTTATAAGTTTTTTGGAATTTATTGTTAAATTATATACATTTACTCAAGATATTTTCTTGTTATAAACAATCTACATTTGAGTCATCTAGTTTCAAAAGCCACTAAAATAAGTTTTGCTTATTTTTCACAAACAAGTAAAAACTTCTCGTTGTCGATAAATGTTATAGACAATAATCTTTTTTGTATGATATGAATCCACAGAATATGGCAAAACTTTAAAATCCCTTTTTCAGCAACAAATCAGTTAAATAAACAAAAATATGGAGGTTTTTTCTTTTATTTTAGCGGCTTTTGAAACTCACTCCTGAAATAAGAGAAATTTGATATTACGAGTAACATGTCACTTTTTAGTGGGTTTTGCAACTGACACAATCTTAACAAAGGATGGTGTTATATAAGATATCAACAAGCGCCAAGATCAACCAAAATAAGAAACTAGGTGAATGTAGCTTTCATTAAGTCTAATAAAAATCCAGAATTAAGTAATTTCTTTTGATTGATAAATAAAAAAATAATGAATAATCTGTTAAAGGCATAAAATAAAATGTTTTATTGTGCTTTTATAATTTAATTTATGTACATATTAAAAATATATTAAAAATTAAAGAATTTAAACGTGAGAAATATTATCCGTAAATCCTGCTTCACACAAATCAGTTTCTTCTGACAATCTCAGAAAGTCTCCCGTTTCAGCAATACTCATTCTCTACACTACAGTTTTAAAAAAAATCAATTCTTCCAAATTTCTCCACCCATCTCCAGTCTTTTTTTAAGAAGTCTATCGACGTCTTGAATTTTTGCTTGTTTTATGTAAACACGATTTGGCTGGATTACTTGAGGAGATATCATAGTGATTTTTTTATTCTTTTTTGTGATAGTCTTTTTTTCGCGAATTTCGTTTCTATACGTCTCTTCACCCTGTACTAAAATGTTTTCTGTTTTCGTTCTTGTAATAAAAAACCTTTTTGTTTTCATAAACTGAAAATGCCAAGACGTAGTAGGTTTAATAATGGACTCGTAACTTTTTTTCCAATCAAATACAGGAATTGATGCTAGATCTTTGCACATACCATTTTGTTCTAAGACAGCTGCATATTCGGATGGAGAGGTTATCACTTCTTTAGTTTTCAATATTTTTTCAATTTTGGCAAACAACCTATCTGGAGGTATAAAGGAGTGACCTACAACAGGGAAGATCAGCTCTATTTCCTTGATATTTGTTGGGGCTTCTGTGTACAGCCATTTACCGAGCATAGCTATCATGCCTGTATTTTTGTTTTGTCCGGCGCAACCATCGGAAACTATTCGTAGAATTTTTATTTTATCTCCAAATTCAAAGTTTTTCAAAAAATCGTAAACTGCGCTAATTATCTCATTACTACCTTTACAGTGTGAAGTTTCATCCCAATAGTAGGAATGAATGTTACTTTTGTCCAGTTTAGCCTTCGAATTTCCCACAAGAATGGCGAAGTGGTAAAAGTTGATTTGACGACTGTAGTAGGCAGATTGATCCGGAACTTTGGGCATTGGCTGGTTTTTTTGGCAATCGAAGGTTATGGTTTGAAGAATTTCATTTTCTTCTTGCAATATTGCATAGAAGGCTTTGTATTTAAGGCGATGAATTGTTTTTTCGACCATAAGTACATTTTTCTTGGAAGCGTCCTTCTCCGTTTTTATGCGTTCTAACAGTTCAATGCACGTTGAACACACGTCTGTCCTAGGATTCCCAAAGCCTATACTATACTTAGTATTAAAAACGTGTCTGAAAAAACTTTGTTTAACTCTCAAATCCTCGTCACGGGCAGTGTTATACATTCGCCACATTTTACGTATTGTCAAGCCTGAAGCAAGATATATTCTATTGATACTTTTCGAACGACAATAGTGACTCTCTTGTCCCTGAAAGCATTCGATGAACCATTCGACGGATAACCTTTTTGCCTCGTATTTTTCTCTCTTCCTGTCACCTCCACGCTTCTCTTCTGGCATTTCACCTCCGCTATTTAAAAATCTGTTCATTACAGTATCAGTCGCAATTCTACTACCGGTTAGTGCAGTCGCTTCATAATGACGTGACGGCTCTAATGCCGAACTTACAGTATTTTTGTAGCGTAAGCATACCTACTGCGCAAAAATAATTCGAAATGGCGTGTCAACCTAAACGTTCCGAAACCGTCGTAATCCACGAGTTGCTGGCCTTTGTTCAACAAAAATTGGACGTCATGGACCAGGTGTCTCTGGAGCAGATACTGATGACAAGCTTCACCGAGGACGAGATCATCCAAGCGAAGAAGGTGTTAGCAGATTCAGCCGTGACCCAAATCCGTCTTATCACACGTCACAGGGATGGACGCGGTAAGAAAGACCTGCAAGACATCTTCAGGCTGTTCAATGAGACCGACCCTGATGACATCCCAACTTTCGTCGCGCGTGATCTCAACAAGCTGCCTCCCGTGACGTTCGATCACGTAGACGTCACCAGATTGTTGAAAGACATCACCACGTTGAGAGCTGATATTACCGACATCCGTTCCAAATTTGAGAAATCAGAACGAGCCGCAACAGAGCTGAGGAACGAAGTCAATATGTTGCGCAACATAATTGCAACATCTGCAAATTCACCGTCGTCGCAGAATGTGAATACGACACGCGGTAACCGTAATAGTAGTCATATTTCACCGATGATTGCGACTCCGTCACGCAATACCGTCTGTCAGCGGGTTGATGACCGAGAAACTAGGGCGACCTCGGTCGTCATTGCATCACCACCTCAACCCTTGACTGAACCCATTGGTACTCCTCCGCCGAAGCCAACCTCAAAACAAGGGAAGACGTTTGCGGATGTTGCCCGTAAATCTTTACAACCGGCACCCTCTTGTGGTCCAAAGCGGAAAAATGTGGAAATAAAATCAGTTCCAGTGGTGACCCAAGACAAGATTGGTAAGGACGGGTTTACTCTTGTTGAGAAGAGACGTCGGTCGCGACCCGTCTGTAACCAGCGTGGGACCGCGAAAATAAACGCGAGTACAACTCTGCGTGCTGTGGAGCCAACCATACAACTCTACATCTCCCGTTTGGACAGAAGTACGTCGGAAGAAGACGTCCTGCGCTTCGTGGAAGAACGAAGCCGATGCCGCATTGAGGATCCGATCTCTTTACATTTGCAGCGTCTGGAGTCTAATAGGTCAACGAACTTCAAATCCTACGTACTCCAGGTTCCTGCAAAACATAAAGAGACATTCCTCGCTCCCGATTTCTGGCCCTCTGGGGTAGTGTTTCGCCGATACAGGGACGCGCCAAAGAAAAAAGTTCCCTAAATAGTGTTAAGTTATGTCAATATTTTATATATATTTTTAGGTTAAGGTATATATTGCTATGGGCCAATGTTCTTAATTTTTAAGTCCTTGATGCCTGAAATAAAGTTATTGTATTGTATTGTATTGTATTGTATTACGCCCTGTATTCGATTTTTCTTTATTATTAGTGCTCTCATGAAAGTTTTTTGACAAACCGGTATTTTGGTCCCATTTTCACTAAGTATAGTATACTTAATAGAAACTCTTCTTTTACTGTTGGGTTTTAATGACTTAGCTTCTGATATATTACAATATTTCAGTATAAAACAGTCCTGCTTCACTTTCGTAGTACACTTATAGATATTCTTGTGAAATTTTCTTATATCTTGACATGATAATTCACTACATCGAAACGCCTTTTGCTTGTGTCCACACTGCGGAAACTGAGGCAAGCTTGAAGGTTTGTACCTAAAACCGAAATAACATTTTGAAATAAAAGGTTCGGAAATAAACGTTGCTAATATAATTTGATAGTAGGATAAAAATTCAAAAAATTAAAGTGTTAATATTAGAATTTAGAATGCCAGCGTAAACTAGCAGCATAACACTGCTGTGTTTCGTATAGTGAGTGTAGAGAACCGGAGACTCTTTTTACTGGAAACGAGGCATTCCATCTTAATCCACACGGGTAACAACGCATCTGCATTTTGATTCTTAATCGAAGTTACATGTAGATGTCTATGGGCCGCAGCAACCACTTACCATCAGGTGGACTGTGTGCTCGTTTGTCACCCTTAAACTATAAAAAAAAAGCTATTTATTTCAGACAATCCCAGGCTTAAGGAATAACGATTTTGGACTAAAAATAATCAATATTACCAAAATTTAATGTAGGTATTTAACAATATGTCATTAATTTTTTTGGTTATACCTTCTGTGTTACGAGATATCCACCAACTTCACGTATCTTTTCTAAATTTATCAAAAATAATTAAAATTACTACACTCCAAGTCATGCATAACAAATAAACATACCTACAAAAGAGAAAGTAAACATTCATATTTACATGAATAATAAAACAATTTTAAAATAGAACATGCTGCAGTTTTATGTTCCATAGGTACCTACTGCATAATAACATTCTTCCTAATGTCGATGCTGATTTTAAAGGATGAATCACGTACCGTATTTCGCGTAGAATCTCACGTTTCCAGGTTGCTTTATTCACAGATCGTTTCCTTGTCTTTTTTGGATCACATTTTCTCACAAATTTCATTAAATCCTCCATTTTTTACGCGTTAATTATCAAATTACCAAACACAGATATACAGCACACAACAAAAATCGCCATCTTGTTTGCATAGTTAAGGTAAAGTCACGTGTCAAAAATGACGCGCTACTATTGGTCAGTCAGTTTATAGGGGATTTTGAAAGCCACATGCAATGTTTTAGTGGCTTTTGATCCCAATCGCTTACTTTATAACTATATTTGTTAGTGTTTTAGATGGATTTGACACTAACTGAATGACTAAACTTGAAGTACTAATAAAACACTTTCACATAATGATATAAGGTCGATTTTAGGATAAAATCATTTTAGAGGGTTTTGAAACTAGATGACTCATTTAACAACCTACAATGTATCACCTCGACCTGTTCTACAGCTCACACCGATCTCACCTGCGGTGCACCTATGAACAACGCACTAGCGATCGACCACTCAGAAATTTCATAACAATACGAAAACCTCAAAACCTACAGACTGGCAGAAGACATGATAACTTCATCAGCTTTATTTCGGCAAAAGTGATATCCTATATTAAACAGTACAATACAGTCTTTTTAGGGTTCCGTACCTCAAAACGAAAAAACGGAACCCTTATAGGATCACTTTGTTGTACGTCTGTCTATCTGTCAAGACCCTTTTTCTCAAGAACGCGTGGAGATATCAAGCTGAAATTCATATCAAATACTTAAGTCTACTGTCCCTTGGACCTATAAAAAAACCAAACTTCTAAGCCAACGCTATCAAAAGATGCAGCTGTTTATGCCGCAAATTTTCGACATTCGCAAGGGAATCAAAACCTACATGGTACTTCCCGTGAACTCAGAATCTTAAAATTTGGTACAAAGCAACGTATTATAGGACAGATAAAGGAAAAATTGCGAAAAGCATAAATTTTTAGTTACATCATATTATAAAATAGTTTTAATAATTTTAAACTTATATACCTACGGATTTGTTCGGAACCCTCGGTGCGCGAGCCCGACTCGCACTTGGCCGGTTTTTTATAGAATAAATGAGCACACAGCCCGCCTGATGATAATTGGATGTTGTGGCCCTAAATCGACTTCTATCCTCGGTTAAGAATCAAAATGCAGATATAGATGCGTTGTGTAAGGACTAAGATGGAACGCCTCGTATCCAGTAAAAAGGGTCTCCGGTTCTCTACGCTCACCATACGAAACACATCAGCATGAGCTGGTATTTTGTGAAAATACCTTTTTTTTCATTCTTCCTCTAATTATCACATAACATCGAAATATTTTGTTTCGAAGATATGCGGGTTTCCTCGGGGTGTTTTTCTTCACCGCCGAGCACGCGGTGAACAAGCGACCCTGGCTTCGCGTGGGTAGGGTCTTGTAATAGTTATTTAGATTTGAGTTAATTAAAGATCATTCATTTTATCAATGTTTTTTTTTTCAAAAATAATCCCAGGATTTTGCGAATAACATACAGCTTTGATCACTCCTTACAGTACTCTCTATAAGTTCGTGAATTTTCATTACAATCGGTTCAGCCATTGCAAAGATTAGATCGAACAGACAGACAGTCAGGCAAACATTTTTAAAATGGTTATTCATGTATTCATGGCATACAAATAACCCCTCGGCTCAATATAAGGCTGTTGTTTCAATATTACATACAGACACTTCATTTTTAGGGTTCCGTACCTCAAAAGGAAAAACGGAACCCTTATAGGATCACTTTGTTGTCCGTCTGTCTGTCTGTCAAGACCCTTTTTCTCAGGAACGCGTAGAGCTAGCACAGATAAAGGAACAATTGCGAAAAGCACAAATTTTTAGTTACATCATATAATAAAAATATTTTTAATAATTTTAAACTTATCCGAACAAATCCGTAGGTAATATACCTACTTTGTTTGGAAAACTCGGTGCGCGAATCCGACTCGCACTTGGCCGGTTTTTATTTATATGTATTAGATGTTATTAACAGTCTCAAATAAATAAGGTACAAATACCGTCTCACGAAGTATGATCGAGTGAGTGACTATATTGCGAGTGTATGATATGTACTTCACTTATGATTGTCAACAGCCGGTAGCTTGGAGGCAAAGCGCTCGCTGTAAATTTCACAGTACGCAAATAGCCCGGGTTCGACCCCGCCGACACCAATTAAATAGTTAATTTTTAGCGCATAATAAATTGCCACAGAGTTACAGGAAATTACTGTCTGCATTGAAAAACAGGTAGCAATTCAATTGAGTTCATTAAGGTCAAAGTACTTGACGGAAAAGGTCGATACACGTCGCTTTGACAAAAAGTAGCAAAGAGTTTTGTATACCTAGCTCGAGAGTTAACGTCAGAATCCTAGTACCTCTAAATTGCTTTTTTTATAAAAGCAAAGTTTTTTTTATATAGAATAGGGTGACAAACGAGCACACAGTCCACCTGATGGTAAGTGGTTGCTGTGACCCATAGACATCTACATTTATCCTCGTTTGCGAATCAAAACGCAGATGCGTTGTCACCCGTGAGGACTAAGATGGAATGCCTCTTTTCCAGTAAAATGGGTCTCCGGTTCTCTACACTCATCATACAAAACACAACAGTGTCAAGCTGCCATTTTACGCTGGTATTCTGTGAGAGCGTGGTCCTTCCCCGGTCGAGCCGACCCATTCGTGCTACAACTATACTACTAATATAGATGCACCATGGCTCTACCACGTATAAAAGTGACAAACGTACTGACAGTCCACCTGATGGTAAGTGGCCACTGCGATCCATGGACACGTACAGCCAATTTCCAACAAAGGCTACATACGCGTCATATCTCTGGGGACAAAGATAAAATGTCTCACAGCCAGTAACTATCCTGGCCCTCTATACCCTTCAGATCGGAACATAGCACTGCTATTTGTCGTCAGAAATAGGTAATAAGGTCGTAACTATCCAAACAAACCCTGTACAGAGTAGGAGTGACCACCTAGTAGTACGATTCCGATCCTTTATGCCTCCTCTACACTACTCGCGAAGTAGATCGAAGTTGGACGAGGTGAATAGTGTAGAGAGGTATTTAGATTCACTTCGTCCAACCTCGCTACGCCTCGGGCGACTTCCGATCGCTGTCAGTTTTTTGCGCCAGAGTCAAAGGACTTCGCGAAGTACCCCGAAGTTATACGAAGCGTCTCACTACACTACTCTGCGTACGCCAGTTATGAATAATTTTTTTATATATAAATATTAACCTTTAACTTTCTACATAATTATTTATTTAGTTAACGCATTGACGTCGTACTGTTCACACAATTAGGTACCTATAGCAGCTGCCTCTTAAACGTCATTCATGTTAAGGGTGCGGGAGACTCAAGACGACTGAGTTTTTTGCGAAGTAGCACGAGTGTGTGGTCATGTTCTTCGGACTGCGATCGACTTCGACGAGCACTTCGTCGAAGTTACATGGCGAGTAGTGTAGAGGAAGCATTAGATTGGCAGTCGATACTGCTTAAATTGTAAACAACACTTCTGTTTATCATCCGCGCGCTCCACGGTCAAGGACAGTTTTGTTAAGAAATCGTGCATGCATGTCCAACGCGACGTAGTAGAGCAACACTACTGCGTATTACTGCTGTAGCACGAACAGGTCCACTCGACCAGGGGAGCAGCACGCACGCTTATAATACCAGCGTAAATTATGAATTATACGCTATCTACATGTAGCGAGGCAGTCCATCTTTTATTTATTTATTTAAAAAGGTACATACACCAACAGTACATATATACATATTATAAAAGTTACATTTTTAAAGCACAATTCCTTATACATATACCTATTATAGGCGTACACAACATTGACAGGAGATCTATACATATAATAAAACTGTAAATAGCAGATGTCTGTACATTTTATATTTTTGTAATAAAAGTGATTGAGGGGTACTAAAAATAAGTAATTAAATACATTTCTACCATTTTTAGAATTTTCTGTCTGTCTGTCTGTCTGTCTGTCTGTCTGTTTGTTTGTTAACGTATCACGTATAAAGTACTAATTTATATCATAAGAATTGTTAAGGAAACTATAAAGTGTATCTTCGGGTTACATTTAGTCTTTATTTCATTAAAATCAGTTCATTCCATCAAAAGTTATGATAAATATTCTGAAGTATGGGTAGGGAAGTATAGGTACGAATTTGCTCAACGGTGGCTTTGTTTGAGTCATCAAGTGCATTTTAAACTAATATCATAAATCATAGTTAAATTATGTAAAATAATGATATAATTATGTATATCTAAAACGCAGTAAACAAAAGTATTAAAGAACGTATTAAATATATTATACAAAAATATAAAATATATTAACCTTATTAACTAAATCTGAAGCACAATAGTTAACCCATTTCTTCGATAGATGGTGGTGTTGTGAAAATGTAATGCAATTGCAATGTGGTTGTTTCCTGTAGATGAGTTTTCATATTTACTGCTAATCTTTATTATATTACTCGCTGCCCTACTGCGTGTTGACAAACTCAATTTATTCTTTACCGCCGAGTAGTCTATGTGGTAAATCAAATTTTAAAAGAGCTATTAACAATTGCGTTGGTTTTGGCGAGAGTCAAACTTTATTTTTTGCTTACTGTGCAGGCACTGATTTATAACTTCTCTTGCGTTTTATATAATGTATCAATCGCGTCAATTAATCTCTTTTATTTTTAGAATTGATGTTAGCAGCGCCATCTCTCTTTAAATATATACATATAATAAAAATGATGATAAACTCTTTCTGTACATTGTATATATATATTGGTGGCTAAAATCATTATGGGGAACTGAAAATAATTAAATAAGAACATTTTATAATTTTTAGAATTGTCTGTCTGTCTATTTGTCTGTTATTATATGAACGCATCACGTCTAAAGTAAACATCTTTTATTTTCAAAGAAATCGTTAAGAAAATCATAAAGCGTATCTTCGAGTTACATTTAATCTTTGTTTTATTAAAATTGGTTAATTCTATCGAAAGTAATGATTATTATTTTGAAATGTAGGTTCGAATTTGTTCAATAGCGCCATAAAATCTCAGAAATAGTAATAAAAAGATTTGTGTGTAAAACGTTC